CCTCACTCCCGATGGGTGCTCAAGCTAGTCCAACGACCATCGTCTACCATCGTTTTTATCTTTTTAATGGTCATTTTTCTCTTCCTCATCTATCGATTACCTCATCGCCGCCATCTTCACTTACTATCCCTCCCCAACCAAATGATTTGTTATATATTTGAGAGAAGTAGATCTGAAACGGGGATGGAGGGAGAGTCGATGAGCGCGGAAGAGAGGGAAGATTGCGACGACCGACTGCCAAAAGACAACAGAAGGAGGAGGAGGGGACATTTACCAAAATGACCCAAAGTTAAAAGACTAGTTTTTCTAACCCAAAAAAGTTTTTTTTTTCCTGAAACGTGAAAGAATATGATTGGACAATTATGACCCCTTGTTTTAAATGAATCCATGGGACCTTGTCTTTAACTCTTGCGCTCTTAAACTTTGGAGGAAGAACCGCTGGAATCTTTTGCATCAAATTTTCGATTCTTGCATGAGATTTCGATCGTTTTCTCAAATTTGAAATTTGAATATTTGAGGTTAATTCACTTTTTTCTAGTTTATACTCTTTCTGTCGCTTCTAGGGCTAGGATTTTTGTTTTTCCGACAAATAAAGGGTAGTTTCTGACGATTATACGATGATTTTTAGTTGAAAGGTTATCAGGTTTAGGGTTTCAGTAGTTTCTAAATGTGATGAGACTGCTAATTTTTTTTTTTAAAAAAAAGAATAGTGATTTCGATTTGCAAATGGGATGAGAATTTCTGGTTTCCTGGAAAATAAAACCGTGGACAAAAATATAATAAAAAACTTATGCAAGTTTTGTCTAAGTTATAGACTCTACATTTTCCACGCATAACTCAAGCACGATCTTGCCTGGGAAATAAGGAAAAGGCCAAAACTCATGTGATTTTTGTTCGAGGGCCTCTGCCTTATTTTTTGGGAATGATCTCAATTAGAAATTTCTTTTAGAAATTATATAATGGCATGGGTGTATTTACGAGAGGCCTAGGGGGCTCGAGGCCCCCTCGAGTGTGCCTTGCCCCCTTCTTATATCCGAGTTAGATTCCTACAATGGTGATTCTTTAATATGTTTTATGAACGATTCTTATGCTATATAAAATAGATTAAGATTGCCCATTGCAAGAATTAAACTCAAGTGCAAGAAGAGGGCAAGTCACACTTATTCCACCAAGCCAAAGAAAACTTTATTTAAAATTATAACCAATAATATATATATAATAAATTTTAGGGGCTCAAGCTCCTAGGGTTCCCGTAAATTTGCCCCTGCCACTGCATAATTATATTGAAGAAATTTACGAGGAAGATCATGTCGATTTTTGGTCTCTATTTTTGTCAATTGCTTAATTTTTTAGGCAAATTCGCCCGAGTTTTCATTAAGAAATAATAAATTCTTTTCTCAGATAAAAATCAATCATCTTCATTTTTAAAAAAATTAGCAGCACCGCCACATTTAGAAAGGGTTGAAACCCTAATCTCAACAACCTTTCAACTAAAAATTATTGTCTTACCCCATAAAACTTTAGCTCTATTCACCTGAAAAACAAAAAATCTAGCCCCATAAGTGACGAAAAGAGTATAAAGTAAAGAAAATCCAATTGACCTTGAAGATTCGAATTTGAGATAAAAAAGTTCCAATGATTCTTCCTCCCAAGTTTGAGAGTGCAATATTCAAAGACAGGGTCTCATGGTTTCATTTTAAACAAGGACATAATTGTCCATTCACATCCCTTAATGCTCATAATCCTATATTGCTTATGTTGTAAGTAAGTTAAATCAATACACTCATAATCCTAGTAATGAACATTGGAATGCACTCCATTGTTGGTTGAGATATCCATGAATTTGTGTTTGAATTTTAACAAATTTCTTGCTGTGTTAAGATGTTTTTGTGATGCAAATTGGATGATAAATAACGATGAAGTAAGTTCTACTAGTGGATACGTGTTCACTCTAGGTGGATGAGCTGTTTCATGRAAATCATCTAACAGACGTGTTTTGTTCACTCTACCATGGAATCAGAATTCATAGCTCTTGAACTAGCAGGTCAAACTGTGTGGTTGAAAAACCTATTAGGTGACTTTCCATTGTGGAAGTCATCTGTCTTAGTATCTTAACATTGTGGTTCACAGGTTGCTATTGAGTATCCAAAAATTATGCGTATAATAGTAAGAGAAGATATACTCGCATTAGATATGGTGYAGTTAAACAACTCTTAAGGAATGAAGTAATCTATTTGGAATTTGTGAGATCTGAGAGGAACTTGACAGATCCTTTAACAAAAGTGTTAACTAAAAAAGTTATTCAAGAAGCTTCAGAGGAGATGAGACTTAAACCCTTAGATTGATAACTATGGTGGAAACTATTATCAAGTGGTCAAATGAAGCCACATGTTGTAGCATTTAAATCCATAATCCTATCAAATCCATTCTAGTTTTCCTTTTATACTAAGAGAAAAGATTCATAGATAAAGAAATATAGTTTTAACTTTTGACTATTGTTTCTTTTTCAAGAACTTCTGTGTATGTGTACGTGTACGTGTACGTGTAGAGTCTCAAACATTAATCAACTTTTACATTTTTGAACTATTTTGTTCGATCTAATCAAAATTTCGAGTTATTCCATAAGTATATCCAATTTGACTCGTTTTATCATTTAAGCTTGGTCTGACTCAATCCATATTCAACTACCTCACATATTCATTTACTCGTAATGGAAGAAGATAGGACGTCGAACTTCAATAGCCAGGTTGATGAGTTATTATCGATTGATGGATGATTTTGATGAAATATGAGTATGACAGGTCTCATTACTTCATAGGTCTATTATTGAGTGGTCAACCGTGATTTAGACTTGATGAAGTTGTTTAGATGAGTGTGAAGGTTAGTTACCTTCCATGAAACAATAAGAGATTTTTTCTTTCTAAAGCACTCATAAGAATTTAAGGTGTGTGTGCATGACCTTTAACAACACTTTAACAAAATTGTATCGCGGAGCAACACACATTCAGGAATGAATAAGTATTGTGAGGATCTGAACTTGAGCATTTGGAAGTTCAAGAAGTGTTTCACTTTCATAAGCTATAGTGTTGCCTTATTTCACTATGCATTAATTCAATCGAAAAATATTAATACTCAAGTAACAAGTTCTTCTTTTAAAAAAAAAATATATATATATATATATATTTTAAAACTAGTTAGGTCATTCGTGGGATGGGGGTGACTAGATTTTTTCTTCCAAAGAAGTCTCCAAAGGAAGTATAGTCCTAAATTTGTGGAATTGAAAAGTTTTCTTTTGCTAAAATTGAAATAACCAAATTTAAGTTTTCTTATTAAATGTTTAGTATCTTTAAGAATTTGACTTCTACAACACGTCCCTTCATTCTTCTCTTCTTCTGTTTTCTCTTTACCGTTCCAGCTCCTAATCACGATTGCATGTGTCTTGGAGTTGCTACATTAATTTCGGGAGGCGAATAGTTGAATTCTGATTGTACTATGACCGAGTCGAAATTTCGCTTAAGGACAATGGCTTTACCAACAATTTTATAAGTTCATTTTTCCAACACTTGGGACATCTTTAATACTAAATTTATGCCTCTTAAAATATCACTTATTGCAACACCTTTGCAGCTATCTTTCTTCATGCCAAATATCCTCTATAGAGTATCCTCTATAGAGTGTCATACGACAAACCTCTAAAATCTGTTGCTTCTCATGAATCTGCGCATAATATGGTAACGACTTAACTTGTAAAGGAATGACTCATACGAATAGCAGTATTTTACCTTGCGAGTTTTGATAGTGAGACTAAGTTTTGTGCATTTTAAGTTTGTTTGGGAGAGTTTTTATTAGCTTTGGATATATGAGATTTTGGGGAGGGGGGGTTGTTTTTGAATAACGTTGTTGAATTTTAAGTGAATTGTGATAGAGTTTGTGTGAATGTTTTTTAGACTTTGTGAGAGTAAGTTTTGTGAATTTGGAAGTTGTTTTCATGAGTTTTTGTTAACTTTTAATGCTTACTTTGAGTTCATGCATATGCAAAGCTTGAATAACATTTTTAGTTTGTGGCATGTGCAAAGCTTGAATGTTTTGTTTGACACGTGGAATGAGTTAGAATTGGAAGTTTGTTTGAATGGAAGTGGTAAGTTTGTTTGAACTGTTGAGTTATTAAGTGTTTTTGGATAACATTGTTGAATTTTAAGTGAATTGTGATAGAGTTTGTGGGCATGTTTTTTAGACTTAGTGATAGTAAGTTTTGTGAATTTGAAAGTTGTTTTAATGATTTAACTTTTAATGCTTACTCTGAGTTCATGCATATGAAGTGAGAATAACATTTTTAGTTCATGGCATGTGCAATTAGTTTGTCATGTGGAATGAGTTAGAATTGGAAGTTTGTTTGAATAGAAATTGTGAGTTAACTTGTGGAAGTATTTGTTAACATAAGTTTATTTGTTATTTATTTTTTCAGGTCCGTTCGATTTCTGTATCGAAAGCTTCTGAAAAGTTGATTATCTCTCGTGAAGAATTTGATGATATGAGACATTTTCATATGTTTAGGTTTTTTATTTTGAGACTTCTTAGAATATGTTGTTTAATTTTTGTTTGTATCAACTTCTTGTACTTTTTGTAAAATTAAATTTTATTTTATATTATAAGTTTTATATGAAATTCAATCTATGACATTTAGGTTTATTGTTGCAAAAAAAAAAAAAAAGAAAAGAAAAGAAAAGGAAAAAAAAACACCTTCGAAGACGAAAACGGATTTGGTCGCCAAAGACATCTTCCACGGCGAATTTCAAGAAAAGTCTATTAGTTGCCTACATCAAAATAGTACATAGTTGTAAAGTTATTACAAAAATGGCCAATAATTTCATCATTATTTTATTGGTCAAAGGCACTCATTAATAACTCTTTAAAAGTTTTCTTTAGGTCAATAGTGTGGAAAAGTTATATATTTGAATTCTCACTATATTATTTAAATTATAATACCTTTAAAAAAATTATTATTAAAATGCTCCTCGACTTTGGGTCGGGAGATTACAAGTATACCTTCATCTTTTTGTCATGTCAATGAATGAATACACCATCAATTTCAAAATGGACAAAATTAAAAACAAACTATATACATATCATTAGCATTTGGTATAATTTAGCACAAACCCATTTCAGCTCTAGCCTAGACATACCCAGAACTCGCTTGCGCGAGATTCYCGGATCACTGATTGCTTCTTACCCTAAACTAGAATGTCACGTAATCAAATGATCTCTACATGACTTGCCATCTCCATGATCTTAGGAGGGGAAGAATTGGGGAGATTTTGCTCGAGATTGGCCTTGATTGTCCAAATCAAAACCAAGCACACCATAACAACTGAGACAAAAGCCAGGCCTGCCCAAACCATGTGGGCATATTGGTCCAAAGGCTTACAATGGTGTTCCAAGATGTTGGAGAAGGCATCTTTCACTGTTTGGCATTCCACAAGGCTTTCCATGCCTGGATACACATTGAGGAAATCTTGTATTGAGTTTGTGTAGGCCTCCACTGTTTTGTACTCTGAGTTGGACATGAACTGCCCATTCTCACACCCTCCTCCTCCGCTGCTTTCGTCAGAACATGTAAGAAGCTTCAGCACCTAAGATCAATGTCGATGGAAATGTTAAATGTCAATGTTGAAAAAGTAGATCGTAGGAAGAACTTAAAAACTCATTAAGCATTACTGGAAAGTCGAAATTTTACTTTTTCTCCGTTGGTGATGCAAATATAGTTCCACATCGATTAAAAGTAGAGAAGATCTTTCTTGTTACATGACTCTTTTGGGTGGAAAAAAAAAGTAAAATCTTGCAGGTTTTGACCCAAAAATGAACAAAAGTGTACTAACATTATTGTTACCTTGACACGAATTTAATATAGTCTTACACCTATTTGAAATGAGAACGATTTGATTCTTAGTATGAATACGAAGACAACATTTATATTGGTACAAGATGCTTTTGAGTGAAAATCGAAGAAAAATCACGTAGGAAGACTTAGGCTCAAAGTGAACATATACCGTACATTTCATAGTTATGGATGGATCTATTGTGCTAATATATTTAGTTAACTTAGGAATGCTAACATAGTCCTATTTCACTTAGAAATGAGAAATATTCTTAGTATAAAGATAAACACAACATTTCTATCGGTACGGGATTTTCTTAGGTGAAGATCGAAGCAAAACGATGCAGGATTCACATATAAAGTGAATAATATCGTAGGATTGTAACATATTTACCTTGGGGATGTCTCCGATTCGAATGGTGTTTGCTGCACAGTTTTGAGGTTGGTATTCATAATATGGAGGTGCTGAGAAAGGGTTGCAAACCAGAGAAATATCTGGATATGATACTGCAATTTGTGTGTTGACCTGAAAAAACAAAGGATAGGGTCAAATTACTCTGTTTTTAAAACTCTTTCATGACAAAAAAAAAAAGACTAACAGTTTTACCTGATTGACAAGTTCATAAATCTCTGAACTGAGACCAGTTAGAACTGACTTTGCAGTTAGAAGTTGCTCACATGGAAGAATAGAACTGAGGCTGTTGTTGTTTGGATTTTCTTGAAACATTTCAAGAGCTGTGCAGGTGTCACTTGAGAAACTGACAAATCAAACAGCACACAAACATTATAATTCACTTTATTTTCTCCCGAACCCATTTGATAGCCGTTTTATTTTTTGTTTTTTGTGTTTGAAAATTCAGTTTATAAACAATACTTCTAAGCATGTTTTTCTGTTTTCTAGAAACGTTTGTAAAATTCAGACGAGTGAAACGGTTATCATCTTAAAAACTTATTTTTGGAAACCACCTACAGGTGGTGGTGTAGTGGGTTTGTTGCCGAATAGGTCCTCAGTTCAAACCCCACAAGGCGTGTAGCCACCAACCGGACTTTCCCCCATTCGGGGAAGTAACATTAGTTATCGTGTTGGGTGGCCATCTACACCCCCGATTATAGAGATCCGACTAGTGAAACGTTATCGATTTCGGGCACTAAAAAAACCTTATTTGTGGAAAATTTTCTAATTTGGACAAAACACAAAAATTGAAGTTTAAATATAATAGAGTATAGAGAGAGATATACTTGTGGAAGAAAAGATACAAGCCAAAGAAGATCCAACAGAGAACAGTGAGAAACCAGGAGAGTAGGATGAAACTGCAAGAAAAAGAAAAAAAGAAATGAAATGGATGAAGAAATTAGAAGTTGTGTTATTTGTGTGGGTGTTTTAATTAATTAATTAATTAATAAAGAAGGAACATGAGATTTGAAGGTTACATGTGAAATAATCTTTGTAATCTGTGAATCCAAAAAACTGCAAAAACAAACAAAGAAATTGGAAATGTTGGGTCAAAAAGCTTGCTGTGTTTGATATAAATTATGTAAATTAATTAGAAACCTTGCAGAAAATCCCACCTAATACAGCAATTACAGCACCCAAGTTCAAGCAAATTGTAACCATGGTTACTATGTACCTGCAACAATGCATCAAATTGAGAGAGAGATAGAAAACTAGGCTAAATTTGTACGGTTAAATTACAAGTTTAATCTTGTGATTTTTAGAGTTGTATTGAATGAGTCCTCTAACTATAGAAGTGTCTCGTAAGTCTTTAAATAGTCAAAATTTTGTAACTTTTCAAGGCCAATATGACCCATTCAACAATTTTTTTTTTCAAATTTAGAGACTTATTAAATAGAAAATTGAAAATTAAGAGATTTGTAAAACACTACCTTGGAGCTAGTCCATGGGCTTATTGGACAAACAACCAAGTTCATAAATCAAGCTCGTAATTTAACCTTTCATTTTTCAAGGCTTAATGTTTTTTGAGTTCCGATCCCATTCTTCTCTCATTTGTTTTTTTGAAAAGAAACCATCTAAGTTAAAATATATTCTAAACATTAAAAGATTGAAAATAAAATTGAAATTTTCATAACACTAAAAGATGAGCGTAAGAAGAAACATTTTGTATAGCGTTTAATTAGTTTGTTTCAATTTTGCTCCAAATAAAAGTCGTTAAACAAGAATATATTCTTTTAAGCAAATAAAAGATCAAAGATGAAACTATCAAAATTTTCGCAACTCTAAAAGTTCAATGATCTGCCACATAATTTAGCGAAAATATAATGAAAACGTCAGATTGAGAGAGTGAGAGTGAGAGAGTTATACACTATATTGAGGCCCTTGTGGATCAAGTGCCTATTCTTGGTAGCATGCCATTGAATATTTGCAGCTTGAGCATCAAGTTGGTGAGAAGTAGAAGTCAAAATTGCAGAAGTTTGCTCATTTCCATTGGAGGCTTCCAAGTTAGTGATCATGTCCTTCATGGCTGAAGTTGTGTTTTGTATAGTTTTTGATGCTCCATTGGCTGTCTCTATTATGATCTTCACCACTTCCTTTGCCTCTCTATCAAATCTACTGCTCCCTCCAATGACCACCCCACATCCCACTCTGCCCAACAATTAATTCCCATCTCAAAATTCTACTCAAATTATTAAATAATAATAGCTTTCAAAGTTTAACTAATTTTTTCATTCATTTTAGTCTTATACTACCACGGTTAACTGAATGATATATAATATCAATGATGATAATAGGATGGGGTCGGGCTGGGATGGTCATCCCCATCCCCGTCTCATTAGAGATTTTTTCCTCATCCTCGCCCCCGTCCCRAATTTTTGGGGTGGGGATTGCTAGGAGAATAGGTATTCGTGTGTGTGTATATATATATATAGATTAGTTTTTTAAATCTTTTTAAAAATGATTTATAAATATTTTAATTCTTTAAAAAATATAAACGTTTTCTTTTAAGTAAAGAAAAAGTGGCTAAATGGACTATTGGACTTGGATTTTTTAAAAACAAAAATTTAAAAAGTATTTATAAAAATTAATATCTATTAATATTATTATATATAAAAATGATTAAAATTACTAAAATATTAAACAGGGTGCGTCTGGTCAGGGACTTCGATTAGGATCCTCAGTTTAACCTCGTCTTTGGTCAAATTGGAGATTTCCCGACCCTATCGGATAGGATACCTACAAGGTCCTGCGAGTTTTTTTTTTTTTGTCATCCGTACCTAATATGCCTATTAGACAAATATAGTGGCGATGAAATAAGTTTGAAGGACTTACATGGCTAAAATAGTGAAGAAAGAAGCCAAAAGAATGGTCCATAGGTAAAACTTTTGGCCACAATGAGGCATTTTCTTCATCTTTTTCTTTGCCCTTCCCTTGCAACACCATAGAGTTGCACCCAAAAATCCTCCATATGCTATTCCACACAAAAGCCATACCACTCCTATTCCATACCCTGCAACTCCTGTGAATATTGTTGACTGAAACAAGCAACAAAGAAGAAGATTTTAAAAATTTTAAAATTTTATGGGTTAGATAAGGTTGATTTATGAAATTTTTAAAAGGTAAAAATGAGTTTGGGTTGAATTGAAACAATCTAAATTTACCAGTTTTTTAATTACTGGAATATGCATATGTGATCTATTTTAGTTCTATTTCATTTAGTTTTCATTCTTTATAGAATTTTTTACTCCAAAAATTTTAATGACTAATTTCTCAAATTCTTGGAATATAATATTTCAAAATATGAAAACTTGACATCGGAGTAAATAAATGCTTCTGAGACTAATATTTTCACTATTTTTTTTCTTTTATAAAAACCTGGAATAATGATCTCCAACCAAACCAATTCAATGTAAATATTTCATAGCTGGACTGAGTTAGATTATTCGAGTTGGGTCGAAATCTATAATTTAAATTGCTTGAGTTGGATAAATTTACAATTCAAATAATTAGGTTGGATCGACAAAGTCTCCGACACAATTCAATCTAACCCAACCTAAGAACACCATAAATAGTCTCCTACTTGTCATATTATCATTTCGAATAATATAATATTTTTCTCTCTATCAGTTAGCATGAAGAGAAATATTTCTTTACGAAAGAAAGAAAAAAATAGCTGTAAAATTTTTATTGGCGAAACTAAGTATTATTAGTTTGTTATTTATTTGGAGAGAGAGAAAATTTACAGTCCAATAGTGTTTGTTGGTGATGTTATATCCACCTCTGTATTTCTTGAAGTGGTTCAAAGGATCAACTCTAACTGTATCATCTTTTTCTTTGACTGTTTCCAACCCATCATTTCTCTGCACCAAATCTCTTCCTGCATAATTATAAAATACAAATTTTGATTTTTAAACCCAATTCTTTGGCTTTTATATCAGTTAATTAATTGAAGTAAAAAACTAATTTGAGTTTTACCATCTAATTGGGATGAGATAATTTTCTGTCCCACAGTTTCCGGGAAAATCCAGGCTGAGCTCACCAACACCCAAACCAGAGGAATTATTACCATCATTTTGTTAACCCCATTTCTGGATTCCATCATCTGAAAAAAGGAAAAAAAAAAAGATCATATGAAAGTTTTGTTGGAATAGAAGGGGAATTTCGTTGTTGTGCCGTGAAAAAGACCACTGCTTTGAAAGTAGTTCGGCACGACCTTGGTGGTACATCGTATTTCTTGAATGGAAAAGATTTAACAAGTTTTTACGAAAATTATTATGAAAGAGAAAAACAGAAAGAAAGAAATTAACCAACCTGGTAATGGAGTTTGATGTTTGGGAGCTGAGAAAATGGGGAGAAAGTGAAAAGAAGGGAAAATAGTGAAAAGGTTTTGCTTGAAGAAGATGGTTTCATAAACAGAGAATGACTAATTTCACAAGAAAGGAACAATAATAACTAAAACTTTTTTTTTTCCGAAAAAACTTCATGAAATTAAATCTTAGAGAGAGAGAGAGAGTACCTGGGGGATGAGAGAGAAGCTGGTGGGTGATGCTCTGATCAGAGTCTCCAAGTTTGCAGGAAAGAAACGACAGAACAGAGAACCACATCGGAAACTTGGGAATCGGTCGGAAAATGAAACATATTTATGATCAAACAAAACAAAAAAGGAAAAAAGAAGGAAAGAAAATGTTGAGAGCAGAGAGTTGAAAGAAACAGAGGATTTGACTAACAAAACCACATTGTCAATTACGGCCTTAATATCTAGAGAGAGAGAAGTTTGGTGTTATTCAACTTTTGCGATCGTATGGAATTTCCCACATTAAACAAAAAAAAAATGTAGTTAAACTAGATTAAATTCTCATCGACATGTTGACATTCTCATCCATATTTCTAAATATTAATGGGTTCGACATCGTCATGAATAGTGAATTGACATTTTTATAGCATCACACGGAAATTGATAACATATAATAATATCAATGATTCTCAATAATATTAATAAATTTGATAACTAAAAGAGAAAAAGGTAAAAACAGAGATTTTTTTTTTTCAAATAAGGAATTGTCAAATTTTAAATGGTGGTAGGATTGATAAAGGATCAAGTATTTTCCTACTAGTCAATTAAGCATAAATCAAGTGATTAAAACATCTATCTTCAACTAAAAGATTGTCCACATATTGTACCAAGTAACAATATAAATAAATCTTAAAAGAGTGAAATATTTATTATAAATTTTTACAAAAATATTACTTGACAACCRCATTTTATCGATATTTTTATTAAAAAAATAGTTTTATTTGTTTCTCYCTCTGGAAGTCAAAGAAGTGGTTCTTGTGAAATGAGGGGTTTGGTCATATATGGAGTGAGTTTCTTCGTCATATCTTTTGGGGAAAAGGGAAATTTGGTTGGTGGGTTCGAATTTTCAAATTCAGGAAATTAAATGTGGAGAAAAAGAGCTCAAAAGTGGGAAAGAAAAGAAAGCCAAACTTCAAACAGTCATACACGTCTCTCTYTCTCTAGGAAGTCCTAAAAGATGGCAACAAAACAAATGGAAAGCAGCTTAAAGATATCGATATTTATAGAAAATTTATAAAAAATATAAAATTCGTAATAAATATTTCACAAAAAAAAATTATTAATATTAATGTTATGTCTATATTAATAATGATATTATATTGATTTTTTGTGATACTAGGAGTATGTCGATTCATGATATTTATGAAAATGTCGACAGAACTTTAATACCTGGTTGAAAGAGGCAATTTTTCCTTTTTTTCTTTTACAAAAATATTACNATGTCGATTCATGATATTTATGAAAATGTCGACAGAACTTTAATACCTGGTTGAAAGAGGCAATTTTTCCTTTTTTTCTTTTACAAAAATATTACAGCACTGTTAGTTTTCTTTGGTTGACCCTTGTTAAATGTTTTTTTATTTCTTCATTTTTAAATTGATATTTTTTTTTTCTRAATTAAGTCCTTAGATTACTAAAAGTTATAAAAATCACGATATCAAAATCTGAAATGGTAATTTTTACAAGTTTGTTAATAAGTCAAGTTACTGATGATGTTCTTTTAAGAAAGAAGTTACTATGGATTAAGTAATACAAAATGAGTAAGTTTTTTTTTATATTTTAGGTAACTGATATAGAGTTAAAATATAAAGTATTTTAAAAATAAATAATAAAGTGTATTTTAACGTCAGCTCATCATTTTGTCAATTAATTTCAACGTTTTGTGACAATAAAAACTTAGTACAAAAAATTAAATATATAAAGAATGAAATTGAATTTTTTAAAAGATTAAGGACTAATTTGAAAAGAAAAAATGTAAATATTAGAAACTAAAATATATATTTTACTTTTTTTTTAGTTATAGTCTTGTATAGTTAAAACCATAGCATAAATTAACCCATTTATTGATTAATTTTGATTACTAATTCTAACCAAATTAACCTATATATTGTATGTAAAAAAAAAAAAAACAAATAGTAACATATACATATTGATTAACTATATGTCACCCATTAACCTATATCATGGGTTATCATGAGTTTGAAGGATCTTTGCGGTGTTATCTTCTTTAGCAAGGGGACATAGATGAAAATTATTATGCTGGCTCCCTTGGCGTAGGGCTTGTGAGGTTGAGAAAAGCGATTGTTAGGAGTTTGATATCAAGAATTTTCTTTTGTTTCTTTTTGAAGGTTAATTTTGTTAAAAAAAAAAGGACTATGTCATCGATTAATTAACTATAATCATTGATATATATATATATATTATTAGTTGTTTGATTCGTAAATTCTACTTAGAAGAATTGTCAAATTTGCACTACTCCGTCTCTGAATAAAGGGATTATACTAAACCTGTAAAAAAAAAAATTACATACTAGTTGTGCTACTATACACACTTTGATGCTTAAATTATATTACAACCAGGTTCGTATGAAGCGTAGCAAGAGTTAGAGTTCCGTAGAGTATCTTGATTATGAGTCTTCTTTCCATTTATAGAAGAGAGTCTAAAGTCATCTGATATCTTTTCTTTTTGAATTCTTTAAATGACGGGATGTTAAATTTCATGGCCTGCTTTGTCATCACGTGAGGGAATTGCTTCGAATTTAGAGACCATCTCTTTGATCACAGACCAAGCAATGGGCAGCGAGTCCATGGGTTGGTCATCCTTGCTAGGCCACGAGTGAGCTAAGGTTGATCAGTCCATCAGGGTCACTACCGACCTAAAGTTGGTCGACCCACTAGGGCCATGACTGAGCCAAGAGTGAGTCGACAAGCCCGTGCCACACATGGTTGGTCCTAACTAGGTCTGTCTTCGAGGTTCAACTCATTGATTAGCATCCTTGATCTTGACTGGTGTGGTTCATATGCATGACTCATAGAGTTAAATTTTACCCATAACATTAGCAACTTTTAATTATTATTTTTGTAATATTTTATCTAAATTAGGTTAGCTTTGTAGTTACCTGAAAGAATAAAATTTGAAATTAAAATTTCTTAGAATTTTAGAGAAATATTAAAAACATTGCTCCAACGGTAACCTAAATCCTCTAAATTTCCGTGAACTCACTAAGCTTGTCACAAGTCAATTTTAACAGGTATAATTGAAAAATATTAAAACATAAAGAATTAAATTCAAACACAATTGAAAAATTCATAAACATGAAAGATAAAAAAATGATTTTAACTGAAGTATTCAAAAGTAATTTCCTTTGTTGTAAAAATTTCCTTTGTTTTACATTGCTGCCAGCCGCCAAGGCAAAGCATCAAGGAAAGATCCATGCATCTCCAAATTTCACGAGCACTCAAGTTGTTCTCTTTTTTTTTTTTTTTCAAAGTAGAAGTTTTCTACTTACTATTACTACAGGTGACGTTTTTATTTTTATAAAGGGGATATTTATCTCTAATTTTAGAAAAACAAATATTTCAGACGACGTTGGCATCCATCTAAAAGTCAAATCTTAGTTCTCTAATTTTATAAAATTCAAAAAGAAGTGTTAAATTGCAATGATTCAAGAGTTTGATTGTAACAATTATAATAATTTAAGTAATATGGTTGATTCATTTTACAATAATTTCGTAATTTAGTAAGTTTAAAAATGTGATGGATCAAATCGAATGATTTCAAGGTGTGATTCTAATTGCCAACTTTGCAAAATATATATATATATATATATATATATATAGTTTTTTTTAATAAAGTTTTAGATGGATTTTTTAGCTTTTCTAAATGAAAATGGGGTTTTTCCAGTTAAAATGCGAGAAAATCACATTATAATAGTAAACTTGATGAAAATTTTTATTTTAAGAGTATTTTTTTTAATAAAATAACGGCAACTTAATAATATTTTTTCTTCTTAATTTGTTATTTGAAAATAAATAAAAAATTAGTTTCCATGTCGTCCTCTTTTAGTAGCGACTTAGGATCCGATGAGGATTTAGCTCGTAGGTTAGAGTCCGAGCTCGAAGAGATAGAAAACTTTAGGTTCTCCGACGACGGGGAGGATAGTGATGCTTCCACCTCGGGTCAGGGTTTGGAATACCCTTCTAGGATACCCGAGCACTACCTCGGCCCCCTTCGTAGGGGGTTTGCTATCCCTGAAAACATCCTCCTTAGGATTCCAGAGGAGGGGGAGAGAGCTGACAATCCTCCAGAGGGATGGGTCACTCTCTACTTCAAAATGTTTGAGTACGGCCT